CAGCAACCATATCCAAACGCGCTACCAGTCTGCTCTCTCTCGCTTCTGATTGTTCTCTGCCTAAGACTGCGTTTACGCTGCAGGATTTTGGTATCGCCGCAAGAGCTGCGCTGTGACCGTCATACTTTATCACAGGAGAACTGTCCCTAGAAGAGCTGCGTGTCGCGCGAATTGTGGGCAGGTTCCATGGATAAAACTACGTGTCGCGCGCGGCAAAACAGGCGGCGATTTTTCGTCGCGCGGCATCTCTGCGTAGAACGAGCGGCAAATACACGTGACGCGCGGCTGTCCTACTTACGCTAGAAGCATAGAAGGGTTGAGAGAAGAATCAAAACTGGCTAGCGGAGTGTTGCGCCACAGAAGCTACCTTTCCCTTTTGTGCACCTCATTTTCTCCGCCGTTCCACTGATTTTCTTTTCATAAATTATAAGTTTTATTGACATCTATATTTTTCATTATTTATAAAAATTCAGGTGACGCGTTGATTTCTTCGCCTTTGGGAACAGCATCGTATTTGATGTCGGTCTGGTCGGTGTTTTCATCACGAAATCGGTCAGTGCTGCTGAATCGACTCTTCACACTAGACGAACTCGCCACCATATCATATCTCTACTATTTGACCGAAACCACGCCTCACGCGATGCGGATCATGCGCACGTTCTTGGTCGAGGAACTGCCGAGGCAGAGGTATGATAATCCGGAATTTCTTTAAGTGGCAATGATCTCAGACTAGTGCCGTTGCTTTAGAATTCGGCCTGTCGGTACTTTTACTCGAAAGAAAGAGGGGTATCAATTTTCCGCTGTGAAATCAATATCACTCTGTAATACGTTTATCTGGTTTGCGATCGTGTCGCTGATGGCGGGATCGAACCCATAGGTGTCCATAGCCGCGTTCATGCTCTGCGAGTCTGGCATTTAGGTACAGCATCGCTGGGAGAATCCCGTCAACAGCGTCGTACGTAGTTGCTGGGTAGGGGGCCGTAATCGGTCAATAGGGGTCGGACCGGGTGACGAAATTAGGAGGGCGGGGGAGGTGGTCGTAGTATCAC